GTAGAGCTGGGGCGCTCCGGCTTGAAAATGGAAACTGTACTTCAATAAAGACTTTTGTACATTACTGCCGGCTAGCGTTGGTCCTCTGTGAGCTGGGACCTGGAGCCAGCTCTGACAGGTACTCTCATTTTGACTCAAGAAAATCACCATTGACAGGAACACTGTGACAGGAAATGAGGCCACCATCGGGGTAGCAACGGAATTGACGGTTCACCGTGCTAGAGAAGAAACTATTTTTTAAAAAAAAAAATAGTTTCTTCTCTTGTTAGATTCACAAAATGTTTAGGGGTATGAAGACCCCTGTGGACCACCAGAAAAAGCACTGTGTATGAATGTATGTATGTATGTACACACACACACACATATATATACACACACACACTCAAAGGTGAAAGGGACAATAAGGTACAAAGAGCTGCAGGCAGGTTTCCCCTTCCTCTTTTCACCCTCACAACAACCCTGTTAGGCTGAGATGCACTGGGTTTCCCCAAGGTCACCCCGTGATCCCAATGGTCAAGTAGGAAGCTGAACCCCTGCCTTCGAGGTCCTACTCCAACTCTCTTAACCACCCCACCCCACTGGATCTCATTATCTGAAAAACTTGGGAGACCACTTGGAGATGGATGAGGAGGGAGAGGCTAGAATTCGGAAATTCCATCACAGCTCTGGATGGAGACGTGTGTCAAATGATGCTAATGCCTTCCTGAGCCTTCCCCCATCACCCCCCTCCTCCTTCTTCTCCTTCTTCTTCTTCTTCAGTTCAGTGCACCGGAGAGATCAAGGCGGGCAGGAAGAAGCCTTTCTCCACACTTAGGTGCCTGAGCAGCAGCTCCTTCAATGATATTTCACCTTACCTCTCCTTGCTACATCTGTCAACTTCTGCTAATTAACTGAGTTTGCTATCACCTTCCATGCTGATATGAAGGAGAAGCACACCAGAAAAAAAAGAAAAAGAAATCAGGAGTTGGCGGGTTGTGGGGGGGGGGAGAAAAGGAGGTGAAGGGATTCTACAATTATAAATGATGTCTGGCAGACGACGGTACCATATAATGCATTATACGCACTTAAAAAGCTAACCCATTCTGTCTTCTTTCTTTGGCATAAATAATGGCCTTTTTATGAATAAATCATGCAGCCAAGGTCTCTGAAAATAGCAGGAACCTCCAGCTGCCTCTCTCTCCTTTCTCTCCCCCCCCCCCACACCCAGCCACTTTTTTCTTTTCTGCTAGGACAGCAGAGAACTCGAGCAATCCACTTCATCATGGCTGATGTACCCAGGCAAGTTCAACTTGCAGTAATGAAATAGGGAGATAAACTTGGATAAGGAGAGGAGGGGAGGGGAGGGAGAGAGAGAGAGAGAGAGAGAGAGAGAGAGAGAGAGAGAGAAGGATGCATTCCCCATTGCCAAAGCCTTGATTGCACCGAATCTCCAAATGAAACATAATGGACTGTTGGGGAGATAAGCATTTCCCCCTGCCCCGCGAATAAAGCAAAGCCTCATAACTCAAGGCTGCCAGCGACTTCTAAGTGCTGCCTCTTGCCTCCATGGCTCTCCAGCTTTAATGACAGCTCTTCAGCTCAGGGGTGCCTTGCCTCTCTCTGGAAGAAGCAAAGGGCAGGAGGAGGTGGAAGATCAGCAGTGCCTCCGCTACCTGGGCAGGGACAAGGCGGGTTCTCTCAGTCCCAGGGGAACAGTGGACCCCAGCGCCAAAGACCTGTGAGTTGTGTGCACTTCAGCAAGGGAAGGGTTGTGGCTCAGCTGGAAAGCCTCTGCCCTGAATGCAGGAGGCCGCAGGTTCAATCCCCAGTATCTCCAGATAGGGATGGGTATGTCCCCTTCCTGAAACCATGGAGAGATGTTGCCAATCAGCATAGATGGAGCTAGATGGGCCAATGGGTCCAACTCAGTATAAAGCAACTTCCTATGTGCTTCATGGAATCCAGAGTTGGAAGGGACCCTGAGGGTCCTCTAGTCCAAGCCTCTGAAATGCAGGAAACTCAACTCAAGCTGTGGGATGTGATGCATAAGTAGCAGTCAAGTACAACATTCCTTGTTTTCCTAGACAGAACATGCAAGGGGATGTTTGGTCCAGCCAGTTGGAACTTCCTGTTTCCTCCTAGACTGGGACATACTTCCTTTGCATGTGACTAGAGGTGGGCGTGACCTTACCTGTCCAGGTAACCAAAGGACAAGGCATGCTGCCCACATACTCTCTCTTTGACTTCCTCTGTCATTGGAGCAGCTTTCTAGCTAGAGATGCTCTGTTGGCTCTCAGTCAACAGAGGACACTGAGATTATCCCCATATGGGATAGCTCCACATGTATATACTTCGTAACTAAGTCTGCCTTCAGGGATCCAACTGTGAACTGAATGTGAGTAAACTTCTTTTCTATACTTTATACAAGATCGTGGTGTGTTTATTCTTTTAAGAGGGGTATAAGGGAACTTACCAGGAACTTAATAGTAAAAGGTTTACACAAGCCTGCAACCAGCTATCCGCTATGTGTTTAAAAGGGGAATGTAAAACTCTGCTAAGTAAAGGAAGTTGCTAGTGCAAGTTAGGAAGGATATTAATAAACAATATATCTTCTCCTGCCTCCCTGAACATTCCCACGAAAGCATCCATGACAGATGGCCATCTTCAACAAGATACTGTCCCTTAAGAACACAATAGCTGTCTAGTCCAGTATTCCACCTCACAGAGGCCATCCACATTGGAAGGAAGCCACTGAGCAGAATCTGAATGCTTCAGCACTTTTCCCACCTGTGGATCCCAGCAAGTGGCATTCATAGGCTTGCCTTTGTAGAACTCTGTAGGAAGGAGGATGGTGACAAAATGGGAATTAGTTTGCTCTGCCTGTCATTGGCTCTGGCTCCCCCTACTGTTGGCCTCCTGCCTTCCACCAGGCACCACTCTGCCACCATCCTGATCATCATCCTCTGAACCTGCTGACAAATGTAAACATGGATGAAATTTCTTATGGTCTCTTTAAAAAAAGAAGAAGCAAACTGATGTGGAAATGTGGAGAACTGGACTTAAAATGGGGAGAAAGTGGGGGGAAATTTGGCCATCCTTAGATGCATCCATACCATTCATGGGGTCCCCAAGGGCACCTGCTGATCAAAGTAGCAAGACGCACAAGTGGGGGCACACCCAAAGCCATTTTATGGATCGGGACCCAGATGCCATGTTGAAAAACAGCCAGGCTGGGATCTAGCAACTCCCTTTATGAGGATAGGTGGCAGCATTTGTGACTTCAGAGATGAGAGAAAAGGGGAGTCAGAGGTGACAGGATGGAAGTTTGTGAAATCATGCCTGCCATGGAGAAAGTGGGCAGAGAAGAGTTGTTCACCTTCTCTCATAATACTAGAACACCAACTTGGATGGCTTTAAAAGAGGACTGGACTAGTGTTTGAAACTCCCATTGTTCTAGGCGCATTTTGCGACAGGGAATTTCATTAGCGCGAGCTGTTTCTGAGCTCTGGGCACAATGCTGTGCCTAAGATTTCAGATTGAAATGGCAGAGTGGAAGGAAAGGAGGACCTCTTTCTGCCTCCCCACTTCCAGCTACTCACTGAAGACTGAAGAAGAGACCCTCTTAAGAATATTAGGGGGGTGGGCAGGGGAAGGATTAGGACATGTGAAAAATGAACATAATATTTGAGCTGCAGTTCCTTCATTTTCAGCTTTGCATTCTTGTTATAAAACAGCACGCCTAGACATTCTGTTGTTGCGCCCATAACCTAGGCTTAAGGTGCCATTTACATCTTAGCTTACATATCTCCATTTCTAACATTGGATTGGACAGATTCATGGAGGAGAGGGACATTGGTGGCTTCTAGGCATGATGGCTATGCTCAGAGGCAGTCATGCTTCTGAATAGCAGTTGCTGGAAACCACAGGAAAATGCTCTTGTGCTTGAATCCTGCTTGCTGGCCTTCCAGAGGCACCTGGTCAGCCATTGTGAAAACAAGATGGCAGACTAGATGGACCATTGGCCTAATCCAGCCTGCCTATCCATATATTCTTCTGCTGTGTCTTTTCCACGAAGGTGGAGAGAGGCAATACGGGTGGGGAAAGCGACTTGAGAATTTGCCCTTCTTTATCTGGAAACTGTTCAGTGCTTAACACAAGGAGGTTCGTTAATTTCAGCAGGTTTTGTGGCTCTTGGAGATTTGTTATTTTTAACATGTTCCGCCATCTGGAATTGAGATTTCAGCTGCTGAAAACTGAGGGGGGGCGAGGGGGGGACAGATACCGTTTCAGAACAGGAGATCATTGGCAAAATAATCAGAAGGAGAAGTTGCTGGAGGGTTTTAGAATTTGCTAAAAAGTCTGACAATTAGTACAGGGTGGGACATAAGCTGCCTGACTCATCTACTGAGGAGGAGGAGGAAGAGGAGGAGGAGGAGGAGGAGGAGGAGGAGGAGGAAGAAGCCATTTCACTCATGTCCTGTTTGTGAGCATCTGGTGAGCCACTGTGAAGACAGAACACTGGACCAGATGCAGTGGACAGAAGGCAAATTCCCTTATTTATTGCATTTATATCTCACCTTTTCCTCCAAGGACTCAAGGTTGGCATCCATGGTTCTCCCCCTCCTCAATTAATTCCCACTACGACCCCACGAGGTAGGCTAGGCTAGGCTGAGTGGTCGTGAGTGGCCCAAGGTCACCCAGTGAGCTTCTTGGCCAAGTGGGGATTTGAACCCTGGTCTCCCAGGTTCTAGTCCAATACTGTAACCACTACACCACACTGGCCAATGGCTGACAGCATGGAACACAGTTATGGAAGCCTCTACACTGGCTGCCCACAGGCTACTGGGCTTGGTTCAAAGTCTCTGTATTTCATCTTAACAACTCGACTCCTGAATACCCTAAGCACTGACTGAGCCATATATATCTCAGCTTCATTACTGAGATCTGCTGAAGCACTGGCCTGTCCCTTACAACATTTTCAGCTTACCAATTTTTCTCATATTTATCGTGATTTCTTAATTTCTGCACAACACTTAGATGTTTTCTATATGAGCTAGCAGTATATAAATATTATTTATGAACAAATAAATGGATAGTTGCTCTGATCCAGCGGTAGGGATACTCTTGCATTTTTAGAGATGTCCCCTCCACATTGTTTTAATTGGTTTATCTTATATTTCAGTGATGGATGTTTTACTGTGGCTGTTTTACTATGTACTTTAGTTGGTTACAGGTAGCTATTTATTTATCATTGGTCTTCTTCTTGTTATTTTTTTTGCTGTTGGCTTTTAATTGTTTGTGAACTGCCTTCACATTTCTTCAAAGGCAGACTATTATTAATAATAACAATAGTAACAAAAATAATACTACTGATACACAAGTTCCGGGGCCTGCACTGTTATAATGGGCCCAGCATCATAATTTAAGCATTTGCACCCTGCTCCTCAGATGAAAAAGACTCCCAGAATAGTTTCCTACAACTAGTAATAAGTCTCTGGCCTCAGGCATGCCATCTAAAATACATAGAATGGTAGTGTTGGAAGGGACCACAAGGGGCATCTAGTCCAATCCCCTGCAATGCGTGATGTGAAAGGAAAAAGTATTGGGAAGAAGGAAATAAAAAGCAAAGCCAGGCCTAGTTCTTAGGTCATAAAGTTTTCTGGTTGAGGTGAGTCACCCTTTGCTCTGATGCTCGTCTTGGGAGTCAGCAGGTACGGTCTCTCAGTATCATATCGCTTTAAGCAGTCAGGGCTACCTAAAATTAAAAATTAAAAAATCCCAGGAACTGTAATTTGTTAAGACTGCTGTGGGTTGTTAAAGATAAAGGGACCCCTGACCATTAGGTCCAGTCGCAGACAACTCTGGGGTTGCAGCGCTCGCTTTACTGGCTGAGGGAGCTGGCATACAGCTTCCGGGTCAAGTGGCCAGCATGACTAAGCTGCTTCTGGTGAAACCAGAGTAGCGCATGGAAACACTGTTTACCTTCCCACAGGAGTGGTACCTATTTATCTACTTGCACTTTGATGTGCTTTCAAACTGCTAGGTTGGCAGGAGCAGGGACTGAGTAATGGGAGCTCACCCCGTCGTGGGGATTTGAACCGCCGACCTTCTGATCGGCAAGCCCTAGGCTCTGTGGTTTAACCCACAGTGCCACCTGCGTAGCTGTGGGTTGTTAGGAGACCCTTATTCCCTTCACTGACCTACAATTCCCAGAGTTCCCTGGAAAGAGGGATTGACTGTTAAACCACTGTTGCTCTGTGAAGGGAATCCCCTAACCATTCCCAGCACCCTGAACAAATTATAGTTCCCAGGATCCAGGGTAGGGAGCCACGACTGATTAAAGTGGTGTGGTAGTTGTTGTTTTTAATGCATGGGATCTGAGAGGCTCATGTAAACGCTTGCCCTCTTTGCTCTGCAAGTATCTGTGAGCCTGTTCATACCTTGACTTAATTTGGATTATGAACTCCTTGTGCCTCCTTTAATTCCCCCTAAATTTGGAGACTCCCTATGCAGTTGATGAAGAGGCGGCGGCGCCCCTCAGCAATTTCTCCTGATTCCCCTGTTGGAGAAGAGAGCTGCGTGCCACTCACCTTGACTTCCACCTTTGTAACCACCCTGTTGATCTCCATCAGGAGCAGGGCAGTGCCTCATTGGTAGGGCTGAAGCGGGATTTGCCACTCTATGTGGAATAAGTGTGTGTGTGTGTGTGTGCACGCCGTTTTGTCCTTTGCCTCAGGCGGCAAAATGTCTTGCCCGGCACCTCCTGTTTAAAAGAGGGAGTCCTTTCTACACCCCTCTAGCTGGGTGCCCCATGGCACTCGTGTCTCTGCGCTGTCAAAGAAAGGGCCCCCACGCCTGGCGTTTCCACCCAAGCACTGCCAATCCCTCGGAGAAGCAGAGATTGGATCCCTTCCCAGCCTCGTTTTGAAGCACGAGCCGGGCCCTGCCACTTCCCTCTCCTCCCCTGGGGCAAGCTGTTCATTTCCAACCCCATAAGACAATGCCCTCTTTGGGGAGAAGGAAAAAACAACAAAGAAATTATAAAGCGCACAGGACCATATGGTAAAATATAGCCAGAGCCGCCGATGTGGCCAATTTTCTGTATGTTACCATATGGTGCTGCGTATTTAGCAAAAATATAACTTGACTGTTTCTCTTTCCATATGGGGATTCTTTTGCCTTAATTAATAACATTGAGGGAAAACGCTTTCAAAGGCTTCCAAGATTCCTGCAAATGGAAGATTTTATGACAGAAACATGCCCCGTTAAGGTCTTCCGAGTCAACGCAACAGGCCCTGCAACTCGGCCTCCGCCCCCTTTTTGGCCAAGAGCTTTTTCGAGCAGTTTCAAGGCTCAGGACACAGCAAAAGTTGGCCTCCACGCCTTCTGAACTCCCTCCCCATGAGGTTCCTGGAAGGTGTTGCTTGAAACGCTGTCAAATCCATCCCCTCTGTCATTCAGTCAGGCCTGGAACTTGTGTGTGTGTGTGTGTGTGTGTGTGTGTGTGTGTGTGTGTTGGGGGGGGGAGAGAGAGAGAATATAATATTTTTTCTCCTGTCCTTCCTCCAATAAGCTCAAGGCAGGACCCATTGTCCTTCCCTCCCCTACGTTTTAAACACTCTCACACAACTTAAACATTCCTGGAGAATCCTCAGAACTGTGGTTGTTTAGGGGTGCTGACCTCACATACCTACATTTCCCAGCACCCTTAACACACCACAGTTTCCAGGATTCTCCTTGGCTGTTAAAAGTGGTACAAGAGTGCTTTAAATATATGGTGCAGATGTGTCCTCTCTCATTCTCATGAGCTGAGCTTCTTGATTGTGCCTTAGGAGCAAAAAAGACATGTCCACACAAAATGCCTCTTCTAGAGTACGAGGCAGAGCCGAAGGGGTTTTCTCTTCTGGGCTAAGCTCTCTTCCCCACAGGGGACATCCCACAAAAAGAAGCAGTGTAAGAAGCATTTACATTATGCCCTCCTATCTTTAAAAAAACTGCCTAGGGGAAGCAGAGGGGGAAATGGAAACTTGAAAGAGTAGAAAGAGCATCACCCCAGAAAGAGAAAGAAGTAGAAAGAAAGAGTAGAAAGACTAGAGTAGAAAAAGAGTAGAAAGAGTAGTTCAGAGTAGAAAGAGCATCACCCCACCTGCGCATGTGCGCACAGATGCACACTAACCCCTCAGCCTGTATCCCATCAATGGAAATGTCAAGGCGGATGTTCTCTATATATTTAGAGTTTATTTTCATGGTGTGTGTGTTTTCCCCTTTGTCTGCAATACCTTTGTTCCTTTTGCAACGTTTGTGTGGTGTTTTTTTAAATAATAATAATCTTGCTGTGCTTTGCATATGCACTTTTGCCTGTTCTCCCTTTGCTTTCATTTTTCATTTCCCTTAATCTGTAAACTGATCACTGTTAGCTTTTGCCTTTGCTGCATTCATTTGCCTATATATAGAACTTTTTTGTCTATTTTTGTTTCCCTGTTTTCATTACTACTCTCCTACTGAATTTTCAGGTACAGACATCCAGATCTACAATGAGTCATTTGCTCTGGTTCTGTTTCTTACTTTTCCTCCTTCTTTTTAATTTAAATGCTCAAAATGAGCCGCAACGCTGTGGCTGGATAAGACTGTGTCGTGCCTATTCTGTACTCACACCTTGAAATTAGTTTTCTAGAGTATTTGCTTATTAGATAACGCCTGGGTTTTCTTCTACCAGAAGGTGAGGAGCTGAGGTTGCTAAAGTTGCCAACTGATCAGGGAAGTGGGCAGGAGGAGGGATCCCAGCTCACCATTGAGGAAGCCCCTGCAGGCCAGCTGCAAACATCTCTTGTGCAAAAATATATTGGGCTGAGAGAACATTGCGGTGAGAGAGCACATGTACTTATCGGAGCAAAATGTAGTAACAGCAACTTCATTATGTGCAGGAGTGGGGGACTTTAGGCCTTAGATGGGTTGGTAGGGACCAGCCACCATTGCCCGGGGGCCAAATGCAGTTCTCCAAGCCCATACTGTCAAACATTTCTCTGATGAAAATTGGGACGACCCATTCCATAATCATAATTTTACTATTTATACCCCACACATCTTGCTGGGTTGCCCCAGCCACTCTGAGCGGCTTCCAACATACAGTCATACCTCAGTTTTTGAACAGCTTAGTTCATGAACAACTTGGAACTCGAATGCCGCAAACCCGGAAGCCTGCAGCCAATCGGAAGCCACACCTTGGTTTCTGAACATTTCGGAAGTCGAACGGACTTCCGGAACACATTCTGTTCGAAAGCCAAGGTATAAAGACACAATAAAACATTCCCTTTACAAGATTGCCTTCAGACAGCTCAGGGGCCAGTTAACTCCATACACTCCAACATTTCTCCAATGAAAATAGGGACATCCTAAGGAAAAGTGGGACATTCAGAAACTGGGATGGCTTCTCTAAATCAAGGACGTCCCTGGAAAATAGGGACATTTGGAGGGTCTGCAAGCCTCTTTATCTGGATGGCAGCTAATGGATTGAAGTTGAATCCTGACAAGACAGAAGTACTGTTTTTGGGGGACAGGGGGCGGGCTGGTGTGGAGGACTCCCTGGTCCTGAATAGGGTAACTGTGCCCCTGAAGGACCAGGTGCGCAGCCTGGGAGTCATTTTGGACTCACAGCTGTCCATGGAGGCGCAGGTCAATTCTGTATCCAGGGCAGCTGTCTACCAACTCCACCTGGTACGCAGGCTGAGACCCTATCTGCCCACGGACTGTTTCACCTGAGTGGTGCATGCTCTAGTTATCTCCCGCTTGGACTACTGCAATGCGCTCTACGTGGGGCTACCTTTGAAGGTGACTCGGAAACTACAACTAATCCAGAATGCGGCAGCTAAACTGGTGACTGGGGGCGGCCGCTGAGACCACATAACACCGGTCTTGAAAGACCTACATTGGCTCCCAGTACGTTTCTGAGCACAATTCAAAGTCCTGGTGTTGACCTTTAAAGCCCTAAACGGCCTTGGCCCAGTATATCTGAAGGAGCGTCTCCACCCCCATCGTTCTGCTCAGATGCTGAGGCCCAGCGCCGAGGGCCTTCTGGTGGTTCCCTTGTTGCGAGAAGCAAAGCTACAGGGGACCAGGCAGAGGGCCTTCTCAGTAGTGGCGCCCACCCTGTGGAACGCCCTCCCATCAGATGTCAAAACGATAAACAACTACCTGACATTCAGAAGACATCTTAAGGCAGCCCTGTTCAGGGAAGTTTTTAATGTGTGATATTTTAGTGTTTTTTGGTTTCTATGGAAGCTGCCCAGAGTGGCTGGGGAAACCCAGCCAGATGGGCGGGGTACAAATAATAATAATAATAATAATAATAATAATAATAATAATAATATCTGGCCCTTATGATTTTTCCTAAATCATCCCCATCCCCAGGTCACAACGTTTGAGCCCTGCTCCACACACCCAATCTAGATCCAACCCTAAACCTCACCTGTATTTTTCTATTTTTAGAAATGCCCACATTTCTGTCTTCTGTGGGTTTTTATGGCTCCTGTGACCCACATTAACACAACACACGCCCCTTTTACTCATATTTAAAACAATTTTATTCATGAAAATATGCTGTACAATGCACTATACACAGTTCTTTACATTGCCACATACACAAAAACTAGAATAGCACAATCAAGAAGGTTACATTGCGTACAATATATGTGTGGTGAGAGATAAACAGCCTGTTGAAAACCCTAAGCCCCCCTTGAATCTGTACAGTTATAAATACGAGGAGGGGGGGAAAGACACCATTTTTCTTTTTTCCTTTTTCATTGAGATGTTTGGTTTGGCCCAACCTTTATGCAGAACTTCCTGGCATAGTGCCACCCCCCACACCGGCCCTTTCTGTGGAGCTAGTGTTTCGATGAGACCTGAACACCACAGACCTGGTGTGCAGCCTCACCCTGCGCGAACTTCCGGCAGATCACGTGAATCAGCTCTCCTGCACAGGTCTGGAAATGAGGGCACAGTTGCAAAGCACAGGGCATTGCTGATGCACTACAACTGTGCTTGGTTCATGACTCACCTGCCTGCTGAATGCACTGTCATGATTGCTGAAACTGAGGTGCTGCTGGAAGAAACCCCCTGCCTGCAGCCAATTGCTCCTTACAGTGTAATTGTTTATTTTTAAAATACAAGCACCCCACAGACCCTGATATGGTGGGTTGAGCCAAGGGCAGCTTTGTACTTGGAAATGTTGGAGTCACACAACCTGATCTCAGGATCCACAAAACACCGTGACTACACGACCGTATAGCAAGGTCCACTCCTGTTCATTCACACAAAGCAGCTCTGCTTTCAGTCTAAAAAAAGAGAGGATTTTCTGAGGATCCAGCTGGCCTTGCTTGGCTTGGAAGTTCTGCTCCTATTCCATGATACTGGGTTATATGAGGGAGAAGGATTTTGCACATGCCCTGTAGCACCCTTTTCTTTTTTTAAAAAAAATTACTTCATAATTTCCTCAGTTGAACCTTGGCTAAGCACTGGCTGTATTACACAAGGAGTTGGGCAAAGAGTTTTCAGGAAGTTGGAAAGGGAGTAAGAGTCATCACGGAACGCTCCTTACTCACATCAGCGCAGAAGCTTGTCTTCCCTGGGGAGATGGAATCACACCCATGCGGGCCAGTGGCATTTTGGCCTTTCTGAATCAGCAGCGGATTGGTGACACAAGTACAACAGTGGAAAGCATAATCATCTTTCAGTTTTGAGCACTATCTGTCCTTCCTCCCACCCAAAAAGAAGGCGAATTAAAAGAAAACAGAGGGAGGAGCACCCCCAAATGTAGGCTCGGTTTAATGAATTGTTTCCAGCAGAATTGTTTGACGTTTTAGCTGAGGATTGTGTCCAACCAAGCCCTGCTCAGAGTAGAGCTACCAAAGTCAACAGACCTAACTTAGTCACGTGCATCAGCACCAGTGTGTTCACTCTGGGGATGACCAGAAATCCTAAGTCACTGGAGCACCAAGTGTTAATGGAAAAGTGAGGGCACGCCTTGCTTCCCTGTTATGGCTGATGGGTGCCACAGTGCCTGAAGCTACAAGGACATGGGCCATGCCACATGCATTCTCGGCCATGTGGCACACAAGACGTCTCCTCTGCTTGGCACTTGCTTCATGAAGCTATTCCAAGGCAGGCAGGCGAGACGTGGGTGGTCTCAGGATTGTCAGCCGCATTCACGGGTTTCAGTGACTTAATGGGAAGGGGACAAGGAAAGCCTGCAGAGGCCAGATCAACTGATGTACCATTGGGATGGTCAAAGCTGCTTCTGTTGGCTAGCTTGGCCGCTGACCCTCAAGTCAGGGCTACAGGCTGAGTATCCCCATAGAAGCCCAGGTGGGTGGGTGGCAGTAAATAAATAAATCTCAATTTCCAAGGCAACCAGTGAACTATCCCACACACTCCCATGATTTCAGTTTTGTTTTCTGCCACCTCAGTTGCTCTCCTTCGTCTCCCTGCTCATCACCACCATCCCTCCAAGGCCACTGCCTTCCTAAGCGGCTGCGATCAGCTCCTCGGCCCGCCCCTGCCCAGCCCTCGCTCGACTCCCCAGCCCCTCAGCGCTGCACTGTACTTCCACAAAAAAAGACGGTAAAACACGACGCTTAGCAAATATGACTCCATTGCACACACGATGACCTCACGGTTAACACACCACAAAGATCGCTGAGCAAAGAGGGGCGCTTCCTGCTGCTGGGGGAGGGGTCTCTCTGGTTGAGCCTGCTGTGTGGCCAGGTAGCATATGAGTGGGGCTAGCCTCTCCTCCTGCCCTCCACAAAATTGGGGTCACAGCTTGGGGTACACTGGGAGGGGGGCCTTTTTCATCTCTCAGTCTCCTTGCATTAACACTGGGGGACATGATTTGATTTGCACTGTACAGGTTTTGGGTTGTACAGAGTGAGAGCAGGCATTTCCCACTTCTATCTTCCTTCCAGGTTCTCCTTCCTTTCTCTCCATCACTTCGAGATCAAGGGTGTGCATGTGTGCGCATGCGCATTCACAGAAGATTAAATGGAGGCAGTAGGGTTCCTAATCCTCAGGGAACAAACTCACTCACACACCCTTGCTCCACAAGCAACAAATACTTGACAGCCTGCCGCTTCTGTGTACGCCAGACTGCTGGCACCGTACTCGCTGCTCCGCTTATGATTAGTGTTCTCGTCCAATCCATTTGGGAAACTGAGGCTGAAATTATTAAAATGATCTCAGGAGCTGGACCAAAATAATTATAGTAGTAAAAAAAAAAGAGCATCATTGCAATAATGGTTACAAACAAACAAAAAGAATCCTACAGAGTCAAAATATATTAAATTCAGTACATGATCCAGCAATGTAAACATTTATAGCCTGTGAGCCCATCTTAAGTTATTTAATTATTATTATTTTTAGCCTGGGGCTGATAGAAACCCAGAGCAAAGAGGAATGCAGGCTACTCCAACACATATCCTGCCAGTCTCATGGGCAAAATTGGGAGGGAAACCCTCCCCTTCTTATGAGCTGTAGCAAGATATGTTGCCCAAATCCTGATAGGCTTTTGGGACCTGGTCCAGGTGCAAATCACAGGGGGGGTGGGGTAGGGAAGAAGCAGAATAATGGTGGGGTAAAATAAATAGCTGTGGTGTGGTGGCAAGCCGAGGAAGGGGGAGAGGAAAGTGGATGCACTTTTTTCTTTTTCTCGTTGTCCAGAAACTGTGCTTGTGACATGAACCGAAAGCAAGAGCCGAGGCTATCCTTAAGATAATCTGCCTGGAGGCCAACCTCACTTCTCTATTCATAATGTTTACCTTGGCAGAGAGCACCCTTCCGTTCCATACTAAACAGACACTTAAGTTATGCCCATTCCTGCCTATGAATACGGAGGGCCACGGGGGAAATCTGGGTGGGAATGTCACGCCCCGTGCAAAACAACTGAGGGAGGAGCACTATGGCATGGGAGCACTGTGAAATAAAAGATCTCTTTCCACATACTCTGTGAAATTATGTCTCTGAAAAAATTCCATTAGAAACATGTTTCTTTCTGCATGGTAATATGATGGTCTACGTAGCATCCTGCTCCCTCCCCTCTAGTTCAAGTCACGGGCAATGGGCTGTGCAGTTGCATCTGGTGGTCCCAGATACAGATCTGCTTCCTCCTGCACATCAGAGTGTGCAAGCAGCCAGCTTAAAAGCAGAGCTGAGCTAAATGTGCCCCCCCCCCACCGCCAGAAGCTGAATATTATTCCCACCATCTGTGGAAGTAGCAGGGAGGGAGGTATTCAATTATTTTTGGAGGTGGACAAATTTCTTTTAAAGATCATCTCATCTCCAGCTTAAATACAAGGAAGCTGAGGGCTTTTTTCTTCTTTTGCACAACAGAAAAGAAGGAAGCAGTCAGGATGGAAGAATCTGACAGTTTTGGTTTCTCCCAGTTTCTAATTTACCCAACCTTAAATTCTCCAGGTATTCATATCATTTCATTTTTTTTTAAAAAAAAGGTCCTCCTGAAAATACATCAAGAAATTTTAGTGCAAATTTCTCCTAATATACCCATGTTTGTATGTGTTTTTGCCTAATATACACATTTTTGCAAAGTGCGTTTTGAGTGTTAAACATATGCACTTCAATGCACACTCTACTCTTGTATGTGCATTTTTTTTTACACACATTATTTGGCTGGAGAACTGTCTTTCAAAATTCAGGCATGTGCAGATTTTGAAAGATGGCTGTTTTTAAGTTTGTGTATTGTTTTGGAAAGTACGAATTGGGTGGATTCATCTTTAAATGCGGGCTGAATCAAATTTCTCCAGGAGATCCCCCTGAGAATGAAGCCACCTCGTCACATAGCATCACACTGAGGCGCATGTTCCAGGAGCATGGCCAGGGACACTGAGCTGCTGCCTGAAGCAGTGACAAGGCTTCCTTGTTGCTTAAAAACAAAACCCAGCCCTTCGTACACAGCCAGAACAGATAGATGCACTTTTAAAGACTCCACCTGAGCTATGTACCCAGAAGACTCTTTTCTGCACATGACACTCCCCTGCTCCTTCAGAGTGACCAAATCATAAAACTTCCCCCTTTTTAATCACAGTGCTGATGGTTTTCATTTCTCAAGTTTTGTTTAGGTTCCACGGGACGAAGCCGTGATTCGCAATCTCAAACATAAAAGTAGATTTGTAATTATTGGTTGAATGGATGTGGTGGGCAAGACCCAGGCACCACTGAAACAGTCTTAAGGTCCCTCTGGTTTTTAAGGGAGGCATCTAAGCACACCTAAGGGGACAATGGCTGAAAAGACTACATGATCACTGTGCGTTTTAATCCAGGTGTGCCCCAATCACATTGGAAGATGGGCAGGGTGCTGATTTGGTGAGCACAAGAGGAGGGAATCGTCCCTTAGCGGCAGCACACAGCTTTTTGCCTGCAGAAGATCCCCTGGAATCTTCCAATTCAAAAGATCAAGGAGCAGGCAATGAGGAAGGGCCGCTTCCTGTGCTTTATGATTCCAGTGTGGCTGACAGCTCAGTGGCAGAGCATATGTTTTGCAGTTCCTGGGTCCAATCCCCAGCATCCCTAGTTATAACACAGCAGGTCACTGGGAAGACCACTATCTGAGTGAGACCCTGGGAACTGCTGACAGTCAGACTAGACGAACAAGGCTTGATGGACAAAGCATCTGATCTAGTAGGACAAAGCAGCTCCCCTGTACTCCTGCACGGGGTGTCCTGGCAAGGAGTATGGGACCTTCCCTTGTCTGTCACTTTCCTCCCTCTCCTCAAGCCCTTTCCTGTTATTAACCAGGCTTAATATGGATTTTGGAGCCCAGCTCTGGCTGATGCAAAGGAGATGTTTCTAGGGGGTTTAGCTCATGGTGACTTACTGTAACAACTTCATGTTGAGTTCCATCACCTATATTTCGGGGGGATGGGGGGAAGCACTGCTCATTGTCTTCCTTGCCATGATTCAAAGAAGAGGAACAAGTGGTTCAAAATAAGCACAGCTGTGCTAGTTTTCTTCATTTGCCGTGTTCATTGAATCTCTTGTTCATGGAGTTTTGGCATCCCTGGACAGGCCCAGCCTCCTTTTAATACACAAGCAAGGGGGTGTCAAGGAGCAGCTTTGGAAGTGACATCATAAAGACAGGGAGTCAGGGTTGTGGGAGAGGAAGTGAGGAAGTACATGCTCCACACTTCCCTGCTCCCAAAACACACACATCTCATCAAGCGGTCCCATGAGAGAGAGAGGCAGAAATCTCACTAGAGCTCTGTATCCAGGCCCATGTTTTTTGTGCAGAAGGTCCTAGGTTCTACCCCAGGCATCTTCAGATAGGAAGACCTCTCAATGAAACCCACAAGAGCCTCTGCCAGCCAGTGTAGAGAACATGGAGTTCGATGGACCCAACACTCTGTATAAGGCAATTTGATATGTTTCATATCACAGAGAACAGGAAGCCCTCAAATAATGTAACATCCAAGCCCTGCCTAGCTACAACTAGAGGTGCTATCAGAAACTGATCACATTTCCAAACTCTGCAGGCTACTGACACCTATCCTTATTGTTACAGGGTGAACGTTTCAGATGGCCCAATTGATAGGTCCTGACTTTGTGCAAAAAAAGTATACTGATATAGACAGAACCTATGGCTGTCCAGCAGAACTTTGTATGGCACTCCAGTACTTTTAAGAGCTCCGCACTGGGGAGAAACTCTAGCTTCACCCAGCACCTGTTTTCCCTAATCATCACTAACATCTGTCCACCACTAACCTGCTATGGGCTGCCTAAGTAGAAAACTAGTTACTTCGAGGTGTCTTGGGCTCCTTCATTTTCAGCCTTCGGACTACAGCTTTCATGGGAAGCCACATCACCTCTCCTAGCCTAGATGATCTTGGCCTGGTCAAATTCCAGATTTTTGCCAATAGCCCTCCTTCTCCACCCCTGTGTCTGTGTGTATCTCGGTTTATTGCACCTTCCTCCCCACTTCCTGAATCTTTACCTGCTATAGCTGCCCTCCTCGCTTTACAGGCTACAAGGTCCTGCGCATACCTAGCAAGGGTAGCATTGGCGATGGTGAGCCTTCGCAGGCCAGAGGGTGCATACCGCCAGAATAAATAGTTGCCACTGTTCCCCATCCCTGCCTCCCTGCTTACCCTGGCCGTTTCCCAGGCCAGCAGCAACAGCAGTCGCCATGCCAAACCTGTGGCTGGCTCTTAACGTAGCAGTAAGTGCCACTCATGTGTGCAAAAAGTTGTGTGGTGCTTGCTCACTGAAGCAGACCCATGCTGGCACACATGCCTCTGCTTGCGCTGTACGCAGCACGTTTCATGCCCCCAACTGCCTGTTGTTTCTTGTTGCAAGCACGGGGTTGGTGTGTGTGTGAAAAAGCTGGCGTTGCTCAGATCAGCTTCCCTTTGCACAGTGGGCTATGGAAACCACAATGTCAGTTGCTGGATCTACAACGGTTGGGGGGAGCCCCTCCCTTCTGCACCAGCCATGCCATGAGTGCGATTGCAGGTGGGAACAGCTGGACAGGGATGGTAGCAGAGCAAACTGATGTTACAACTGCCTTTAGTGCTGCAAGCTTCTCCCCTGCAGCTCTTGGTGCTGCTATCTATCAAGACCGCGCAGAGCCCCGTCCCCCACCATAATAAAAGTAAGGGGATCCTAAGCTACTGGCCTTTGCCAAAGGAGTGTCACAGATGGGCAAAGGCCAGGAAATGGAGCTAGGGTGTCCAATTAGATTTGAGCGGTACTGAAAACAATTAGGAAAGGGGTGAATGAAAAGCCAGAGCTGTCAATTCACTGAGGCTACCTAGGCCACCGTGGAGACCCAGATGACTCTTCTAGCCACAAATCACTAGTTCCCTCTTTCTGTGCAATAGTGCAGGTGCCCAGGAAGGGAGGGGGAGGGAAGGGGGGAGGGAAGGGGGTGGGTGGGCAGCAGCTCTGCAATGCCATGGCTAACTTGTGCCTATTGCACACATCAAAGACAGATCTGACTTACTGCACGATACACCTGGCACAAGCGAGTAGTCGCCAGTACCTTTCAAAACATTTTACCCTACATTGTGTATTTGTGTGTGTGTGTGTGTGTGTGTGTTTAGTGTTGTCGTCAAGTTTAAACAGATGGCTCTAGCCTGGCTGAACAAATGAAGGCAAAGAAAATAAGAAAGGCGGAGTAGGGCGGGGGAGAAAGTTTGTTTCCACACACACCCCACCCTCTCATCCTGCTGACTGGTGGGTCAGAGTTGTCTGAAGCAGGTCTCACCCTGGCACCCAGCTCTGATTGGTGGGCTGCGGGGCGCTGGGCAAAGTGGCCATGTTGAGGCCGTTTTGCGGCGGAAGAGCTGAGTCAAAGTTGAAGTCCATCTCGTCGCTGTCCATAAAGTCGTTGAGGATGATGGACTCCACGTCGCACTCCAAGCTACCGTTGAACATGTCCAAGTCCAAGTCTGCTGGGAATCTGTCCTGGCCCAAAACAGGGGTGTGCATGGCTTCTGGGTAGGGTCCCTGCAAGGAGTCTAGCAGACTCATGTGCGCCCCCTGGTTGTTGATGTAGGAATGGATGTGCCCGTGATGGGGCATGGCCACCATGCTGCAAGAGTCATTGGGCAGGCTCATAAGGCTGATAGGAGAGGGTAAGGCACTGTTGCTGATCGGGTGGTGGTGGTGGTGGCTGGCTGGTGACGGGTGGTACAACGCGTTGCTCTTCATGAGGGACGACGAGTGGGGAGGGTAGGGGACAAGACCTATCTCTCCGCCGCCGCCGCCACCCCCGCCGCCACACACAAGGGGGTTTTGTCTGTGGCCGCGGGGTGGCCCCATGCTGCTGGCTTGCGGCATGTGCGCCTCGCCCTCTTTGTGGGCGTAGGAGATGGAGGAGAGCAGGTCCTGCAAGGAGGCATTGCGGTAGGAGTTCATGGGAGCAAAGGTGGCCTGCTTGTTCTCCTGGATGGTCTGCATGGGCAGGCGGCGCATAAGGCTCATGGCCGGCTGGCTGTAGATGGTCCCGCAGTAGGTGCTCCCTCCTCCTCCTCCTCCACCGCCACCTCCTCCTCCTCCTCCTCCCCCAGCACCCACAGCAGAGCACTTAGAGTTGAAGCTGAAGCTGGAGTTCCTCTGCCGGAGGCCCCCGGTGGGCAGCGGCTGGGCAGGGCTCATGCTGTAGTTGTCCTGCAGGTCTTCCAGGAGGCTCTCACCAAGGCTCTCGTTCAGGTTG